AAAATGGCTCATTTATTTTTCAGATGTTTATGGAGGGCCTGCTAGGAGCTAAGCACCATTCATAGGGCATAAAATGGATACAGTATCTGCTTTCATGGGGCTTATATTCTAGCAGAAGGGTCAGGTGTTAAACAAACATACAATTACATTCTTACAAACTATAACAAGTAAAAGAATAGTGTCTCATTCAAGAGAACAGAAGAACCTTAATTTAAACTGTGAAATCCGGGTGGCCTCTGAGGAGGTAATGGTTTAGGCCTGAATAAGGAGTAGGAATGTGCTACAAAAGGGTGGGCAAGAAAAGCATTTCAGACAGAGAGCAGCACAAGGAAAAGTTCTGAATTGGGATAAAGAAGCTGTTTTGTTTGTTTGTTGTTTTGTTTTTTTTTAAGAAGTGGAAACAGGTTGACACGGCTTAAGAACAGAAAATTCGGAGACTGGGATGAGGCCTTCACATTTCCTACCTTTTACAATGAAAAGTCAGTAAAAGAGTTTAAGCAGGAAAGTGATAACATTTACGTTTTGAAACTATCACTTGGCCACTGTGTGGGGAAGAGACTGGAGGGAGGGCAAGAATGAAGGTGGGAAGTTTGGCTGGATATCCTCTGCTGGAGCAGGTGATAGCTGACGGTGACCTCCCTGTGAGGATATGAGTGGACGCAGAGTGGTGGCTGGATTACAGAGCTATCCCAGAGACGGGACCAGGGGGGTTTGATGATGGACTGGACGTGTGGGAAAATATCTAGGATGACACACAGATGGTTCAGCCTGAGCAGCTCAGGGGCTGGAGATGTTCTTTACCAAGATGGGGGAAGATCGGTGGAGATGCAGATTTGGGGAGGGAGCTGGAGTGGCAGTCAAGAGTTCCGGTTTGGGTACATTAAGCTTGAGATGTCTTTGAGACAGCCAAAGGGGAAATCGTACACCGACCGATACACACACACACACACACACACACACACACACACACACACACACACCCTATGCCGCAGGTGACTGCACATCACACAGAGCATCGATTGCCATGGGGAAGGATAAAATTACCCAGGGAGAGGATCCAATGAGTAAGGTCCTCATGAACTGTACTCTGAGGTAAGACAGAGAAACAGCTAGAAAAATAGCATCAAGCTAAAAGATGGGAGTGATTCAAGATGGAGGAAGCTGTCAACTCTGCGGAATATTGCTGAAATAGCGAGTGTCTCTCAAAAGCATCTGCTGGATTGGTAACATGGAAGTCACAAACTGAGCCAGAACAATTCTGGAATGGATAGAAACCAGCTTGGATTGGACTGAACAGGCAACAAAGGTGGGCAGGTAGTGTCAACTTCTCATCAACACTGACTCCCAAGGAGGAGTAGAGACAGGCGGGAGTGAGCTCTGACCTCCGCAAGTTTCACCCAGGCCAAGGGTCTCCCAGCCTTGGGCTGACCACAATTCCCTCACAGCTCCAGAAGATGACGCACATGGGCTCAGAGAGAGTGGGGAGGGCCTTTAGCCATTGCCTGTCCTCCCTCTGACCTCGGCTTCACCTCATTCATCCTTGACACATGAACCCCACTCTTTGTTCAAACCTCACTCAGGAAACCTCTTGGGTGGCATACTCTAGCATTCAAAACTGTTCCATCACAAAGGTTTTATGTCTCTGTTGAAAAGCCCCTGCATGGCCCAGAGGTATGAAGAAAGTAGGAAGAGCCTCTCCACGCTGGTTCAGAAGACCTGACCTCAACCTTCTCCTTTCCAGGTCATATTGTCCTAGGCCTTTCCCAACAGACCCTGGCCTGCCTTCGGACCTCATCTCCCACTGCTCTCCTACTTGAAAGCTCCACTCTGGCCTACTTATGCTCTCTTAAGACACCTTATATTTTCCTGCCCCCATATATTTGCTGTTCTTCCCTCTTAGAATGAGTCCCCCTCCTTGTCTAGCTGAATCTTATCCATTGCTCACATCCAGTTCCAGTCCTTCTGCCTCTAGAAAACCCTGCCTGGCTTCCCACCCCTCTTTCCAGATTTCTCCTATACTGCTTGGGAGCAAAGGCTTGTTCTGCCTGTGTCCCTCCCTCCTACACTGAGGAACTATGAAGCTGCCTGCTTGGTCCTTTGCTTTCTTTGCTGGTGCCCAGACCTGAGAGGCGCTTGATAAATAATTTGTTTATTGATGGGATGATTGACGAAAAACCAGAGGCCCTTCATTCCCGAAAAATGAAGACTTAGACCAGGGCTGCATTAGCGGGGTTCACCAGGGCCAAAGGAGAAATAAATAGAGGACATAAGTATTCACCAGCCTGGGTTCTATGCAATCATGTGAGAATGTTCCAAGTCACTTGAGTTCAAGTTCAAATTAAGCTCCAGCCATCATGATCATCAACTGTTTCAAATGCTCCTTCAGAAACCTACTCCTTCTTGGAAATGTTGAAACTTTAAACCACAAAAGCTCATGTTTTCTTTTAAGCCTGTCACTAGAAGTTTCTTGCCATTTTAAATTATGGATTTCCTCTGGCAGTCCCTTTTAAAATGTTGAAAAGGCAGCTTTCTAACCTATACCCTCTGATCATGTCATGCTTCATGTAACAAGAGCATTGCAGAGGGGTGAAAATTCAGCCTGTGGTATTTTTTATCCCCCCACTCAAGATACTGGCTAAAGTGGGTAATAACCAACAGATTGTGAAGACTTCCATGCAATATGAGGTCCCATTAAAAAGTTTGTCCTGGCTAAGTTTTAAGGGCATACACATTTTGTGGAGATGGGTTCAATCCAATTTGGGCTCCAAAGTATGCTTAAACATAGCAATTATTGCAACCATGAAAACAGGTGGACTCTGGACCCAGATCTCCAATAATATGCTTCATGATATCTTGGGCACTGTTTTGCTTCCCTGCATCAATATGAACACTGAGAATCTTAAAATACTGATAGTAGCAGTTGAAAAGCAAAGCTCTTTTCCAAGCCCCAGAGGCAAGAATTCAGCAAGGAAACGTCAGGGAATAAGTGCCCCTCAGACCCAACACCAGTTCATCCCCATTGAAGCTGGTTCCACGGTGGACACACTGTCCCCCAGATTCAAGGATGTTTGACTACTATGTCTGTTTATATCTCAACTCAGCTTTTCCTGAGGTGGGATATGTTTTCTTTTATGGAAAGAAATTATTTGTTTGCTTTTGATTTACTGATTCACAAGAGATATAAAGCAACAGAGAGGCCTGGCTGTGTAGTCTGGGGAAAAATGCTCAGTGCCTCCTGGCCTCCTCTGCATTGGCCCCAGACTGCAATTACTGCTCCGGTCCCCGCCCACCCGGGCAAGGTGTACACCACCATCAGGGCCAGGACAAGAGGGAAGGCCTTTGCGTGGTGTGGGGCTTGCTCTGACTTTGCTGGAAATAATGGGTTTCTAAAAGAACAGCTTTAAGAGACCCATGTGTTCAGATATAATCATCCTTTGGAGGGTGTGTGTTTTTAAATGGCATGATTCACCCAAAATAATATGTCCCCCATTTCTTACATCCAGCTGTCTTCCAGAAAGATAAGAACACAGTGAACAGAGGCATATAGGAAGAAACTAGGCTCTCGCACATCTTCACTAGGAATGGGCCTTCTCCAGCCCTCAGCTTTTATGCTTAAAGAGAAAAGTTCAAACTCTTTGAGGGGAAGGCAGGGAGAACAAAACAACCTGTCAAAATCTCTTTTAGCACCCATGACTAGTGTTAACTTACATGCTCTCAGAGTGCAGTTAAAAACCCTGCAAGCTGCCATTTAAAAAAGATCGTTTGGCCTTTCAAAATCAACTCTTTTGCCCCATATATTCAATGGATGAACCTTGGGAGCTCCAGAGTCCCCGGTTAATAAATGAAATGAGGCTGGATTTCCAGAAGAGGGTTTCTCTAGAGGCCGCAGGCTAATTAGGGTGCTCCAGACCAACACCGTAGCGCAGGCAGAATGCAGGCCCCAAACCTTTTAGCCACTGTGGTCGCCAACCGCTCAGAGTCGGTTTCTGCAAGGAGGCTGGCGGGGAGTTAAGCAAAGTGAGTAACTAAAAAGTCCTGGGCGCGACAGCCCGCAGCCTGCGGCTCTGGGGCAGGCTGCGGACTCCGGGTGGCGGCCGCGGAGTCGCCGCGGTGCTGGGTCTCCCCGCAGCCGCCCAGCCCCGCGCGCACCGAGCAGCGCTGCTGAAAGAAGTTGGAGAGCTCCCAGCTCGCCGACTGGATTCGCCGGTGGGCGCTGGGGAATCCCTCCCGGCGCCGCAATTAGTAAAGTTCTGGAGCAAGTAAGGACCCTGGACAGCCAGGAGACGTGTACTTGCCCGGAGCACAAGGAAAACCCCGCGCCGCGCCAGCCCCAGACCGCTCGCACAAGGTGCCTTCCCGCTCCCCACCGCCGCACAACTCGTCCAGAGGGCGCCGAGCCAGAGAGGCGGCTCCGCCGGGCTTGCGGCTCCGAATGGAAACGCCTGCAGCCTTCCCGGCCTGGGGCACGAGGGCTCGAATTCAACAGCGGAGGGAACAGGGGCAGAACCAGCAAGTCCCGCTCGGACGCCCGGGACCTTCTCCTCCAAGCCCTCTCGGGCTTTTCCAAAGGACGCGCGGCACAGCCGGTGCGCCCCCGGCGCTCCACGCCACTCCTCTCTCCACAGGTCCCCCCAAACTCTTCCCGGGAAGCCCCATCAAGCCCAGACGGCTCCCCGAAACTCCCAGGGCACTCGCCAGCCACCCCCACGCCCGTCTCTCGAACCCTCCTTGTCGCGTTCTCGCCGCCCCGCGCCCTCCTCCTCGCGTTCACGGGGAGTCAGAAGCAAACCACGAGAAAATGCCTTCGCGAGGAGCCTCCCTACACCCGCCCTGTCACTGAAACAAAAGCGCAGGGAGGAGGGAGGTGGAAGAGGAGGCGGGAGGAAGGTTTAGAAAGAGGATGGGGAGAGCGCTAAGAAGGAGCTGAGGAGGAGGGTCGGGGTGGGGAGGAGAGACGGGGCCAGGGACCCCGCTCCGGCTCCGCGCCGCCGGTCGCTTACATGCCCAGGTCGCTGTAGGTGTTGAAGAACTCCATCTGGTTGCACGCCTGGATCCAGCCCACCACCCAGGTCTCGTGGCGGGGGATGGGGGGCATGACCACGCGGGCCGAGGCTTTGAAGTAGGGGGTCTTGTAGCGCAGGACGATGGGCGAGGTCTCCTCGATGCGCGTGGGGCACTGGTCGATGGTGGCGCACACATCGTACACCACGATGTTCTCGCGCCGGATCCGCGCCTTGCAGGTGATGCTTTGGATACAGCCCATCCTGCCGCCCGGCGCCGGCGCGGCGCGGCGTGGGGCAGCGCGGGGGCC